TATTTTATTCTTTCATACATATGTTTACTTCATAGGCCATGATGGAAAAGCCATTCAAGTGTCCGTATTGCGAGCACCGATCAAAGGAGAAAAGTGGTCTTGAGAAGCATGTCAGGTAATTCTGGAGGATTGTTATGAATTTGTTCCTCAGAGTATTTGAGGATTCTACATTTTCGAACGCTTTCTTGCAGTTTTGGAACTGAAGCGCCTTTACTCACTATTTGCTTTCTTATAAGCTGGCTGTTCAGGTCCATACATACGCTGGAGGCTCCTTATAAATGTAAATATTGCAATCAGTCTTTCAAAGTGCAAAGCAACATGGTCCGACATATACGAGCTCATACTGGTAGGTTCTCAAATTGATTTATTAATTTTTTTCAGAATCAGTTTTTTCCTTTTTCGTTTTGATTTTTCTCACTTTTCGTTAAACATGTTGTTTTCACATATAGAATACAATAGCACATCGTGCAATCAATAGGAAATTTTCACGTCATTCAGTACTTTTTTGGGAATAGTAGCTTATCGAAACTCAATCTATGGTAGGCCAGACTTATCCGGTCCAACCGGTTCATCCGCTTCACCGCATGCTATTGGTCAACTCATTGATCAACAAAATGACATGCAAATGAGTGAGCCGAAGGGACCGCCGGTTACACCGATTAGCTCTGGCAGCTTATGTCGCGTCTTAGCACGTATTTTTTGATATCAAAAATCTATCCTTACTCTCATTTACGCCGCATTGTTCAGGAGAGAAACCTTACGCATGCAAGAAATGTGGCGTAAGCTATGCAGATAAGAAGAATATGGATGCGCACGTGTTTCGAGAGCACCTGCGAATGCGAGAGCTAGAATGCACCGCGCCAGGATGTTCAGCTCGGTTCTGGCGTCATGATCGTTTCGCCTTACATTGTCTGAAAAGGCATGGTACGGTACCACAGTTTCTCCAATAATCTCTCCGCTTTGTAGGCCACAATTGTCATTATCTAGTCAGCTCAGTTGCGATTCCATTCTACATGAATGTATTGTATATTGTTGATTTTGACTGTCTCATTTTAAATACTATAGTGCGTAGTTTTCTACCCTAATTTACGTTGGAAGACTGATTTGCGGGCCCTTGTACCGAATAACTCAGGTCACTAGGCTTTTTTTTACACGTATACTAGCATTTCGTAGATTGTGAGGTCTTAGGGTTGTTTCATACTGCTGCGCAGACTGCTGCAGACTGCAGCAGACTGCACCGGCCCGCATCCTCTCGTA